TACTCGATTTCGCCAATCAAGTATAACTGTAAGCTTCTCTGATCTCTCATAGTACTTTTTTAAAATTGAAGTATGATTGATTTACAACATCATGTTAGTTTCAAGTGTACAGTACAGTGATTGTTTTATATATATATTCTCTTTCAGATTTTCCTTATAGGTTATTACAAAATAGAATTCCCTGTGCTATACATTACATCCTTGTTACCTATTTTATATATAGTAGGGTGTATATGTTAATCCCAACCTCCTAATTTATCCCTCTCCCTCACTTTCTCCTTTGGTAAGCATAAGTTTGTTTTCTATGTCTGTAGGTCTATTTCTGCTTTGTAAGTAAGTTCATCTGTATCCTTCTTTTTTTAAGATTCCACATATATCAGAGCACTATATATTGCTCTCAGAGCATACTGCATCATACCTGAGTTTTAATTTTATTTACATTCTACTTCTCTTACTAGATCAGGGTTTCTCACCCCAAACATTATTGACATTTTGGACAATTCTTTGCTGTGGGAAGCTATCCTGTTCACTGCAGGTTGCTCAGCAGCATCCCTGGCCTCTACCCACTAAATGCCAGTAGCATTCCTGTCCTCCAGTCATAATAACCAAAAGACATGGTCAAATGTCCCCTGGTGGGCAAAACTGTCCCCAGTTAAGAACCACTGTGCCAGATTATAAACTCCTGAAAACAGAGATCTGTTTATTGATTTTGGGGTCCTTTAAAACTGCTTGTGTAACTAGTACTGAGTACATGGGCCAATGTGAAGGTATCTGTCTTGACACATTATTTCAGTGCTTCTATGTTCATAAACTAACTCCTGTCTTCTATGGAGTTGGCATCTGATTGGGATTGATCATCCCTACAGAAATTGGAGGGTACCAGAAATGAACAATGTCTAGTCAAGAAAATCGTTTGTAACACTATTCCTCTGTGCCTACTCAAAGACTCTTCCAGCTATTTATCCCTCTTTCTGCATCAATTCTTTACCAATTTCTCCCTATCTACTAGAGTATCCCCATGACACACAAATATGCTGTAGGATCTCCCATCTTTAAAGGAAATTCTCCCCAGAGTCCATGTTCCACTCCAGCTTCCTTTATAACAAAACTTCCCAAAAGAGTTGACTATGCTTATAGTCTCTACTTCCTCACCTCCCATTTTCTCCTCAAACTACTCCAGTCACATCTCATCATAATGAAATGTAATCTATTCCTTTCATCTCAGTAATCTCTTATACCGGCATACCTCATCTTATTGCACTTCGCAGATACTGTGTTTTTTTAAAAGCTTAAGGTCTGTGGCAACCCTGCATCAATCCAGTCTACAGGCGCCATTTTTCCAACAGCATTTGCTCACTTCGTGTCTGTCACATTTTGGGAATTCATGCAATACTTCAAACTTTTTTGTTATTATTATATTTGTTATGGTGATGACCAATGATCTTTGACTTACTATTGTAACTGTTTTGGGGTGTCACAAACCATGCTGATACAGACAACAAACTTGATTGATAAATGTTGTGTGTGTTCTGACTGCTCCCAACTGGTTGTTACCTGGTCTCTCTCCCTCTCCTTGACCTCCCTATTCTGAGTCACAACAATACTGAAATTATGCCAATTAGTAACGCTTTATCAGCCTATAAGTGTCCAAGTGAAAGGAATAGTTGCACATCTTTTACTTTAAATCAAAAGCTAGAATGATTAAGCTGAGTGAGGAAGGCATGTTGAAAGCCAAGATAGGCTGAAAGCTAGGCCTCTTGGCCAAACAGTTAGCCAAATTGTGAATGCAATGAAAAAGTTCTTGAAGGAAATTAAAAGTGTTACTCTAGTGAACACACAAATGTTAACAAAGCAAAACAGCCTTATTGCTGATGTGGAGAAAGTTTTAGAGGTCTGGATAGAAGATCAAACCAGCCACAATAGTCCCTTAAGTCAAAGCCTAATCCAGAGCAAGGCCCCAACTCTATTCAATTCTATGAAGGCTGAGAAAGGTGAGGAAGCTGCAGAAGAAAAGTCTGACGCTAGCAGAGTCTGGTTCATGAGGCTTAAGGAAAGAAGCTGTCCCCATAACATAAAAGTGCAGGGTGAAGCAGCCAGTAGAAGTTGCAGCAAGTTATCCAGAAAATCTAGCTAAGATAATGAAGGTGGCTACACTAAACGACTGATTTTCCATGTAGACAAAACAGGCTTCTTTTGGAAAATGTCATCTAGGACTTTCATAGCTAGAGAGGAGAAGTCAATGCCTGGCTTCAAAGCTTCAAAGGACAGGCTAACTCTTGCTAGAAACTCATGTAGCTGGTGACCTGAAGTTAAAACCAATGCTCATTTACCATTCTAAAAATGCTAAGGCCATTAAGAATTATGCTAAATCTACTCTGCTTGTGCTCTATAAATGGAACAACAAAGCCTGGAAGACAGTACATCTGTTTACAACATGGTTTACTGTATATTTGAAGCCCACCGTTGAGACCTACTGCTCAGAAAAAAAGATTCCTTTCAAAATATTACTGCTCATTGACAATGCAACTGGTCACCCAAGAGCTCCCTGATGGAGACGTACGAGATTAATGCTGTTTTCATGTGTGCTAACACAACATCCATTCTGCAGTCCACGGAGCAAGGAGTAATTTTTACTTTCAAGACTTATTATTTCAGAAATACATTTTGTAAGGCTACAGCTGCCATAGATAACGATTCCTCTGATGGATCTGGTCAAAGTCATTTGAAGACCTTCTGGAAATAATTCATCATTCTAGAAGCCGTTAAGAATATTCGTTAAAAAAATATCCGTGATTCATGGGAAGAGGTAAAATATCAACATAAACAGGAGTTTGGAAGTTTCTAACCCTTGCGGATGACTTTCAGGGGTTTAAGACATCAGTGAAGAAGTAATTGCAAATGTAGTAGAAATAGCAAGAGAACTAGAATTAGAAGTGGACCCTAAAGATGTAACTGAATTGCTGAAATCTCATGATAAAACCCCATCATCGAAGAGTTGCTTCTTATGGATACGCAAAGAAAATAGTTTCTCGGGATGGAATCTACTCGGGCTAAAGATACCGTGACGACTGTTGAAAAGACAACAAAGGATTTAGAACGTTACAAAAACTTAGTTGATAAAGAAGGCGTAGAGTTTGAGAGAATTGATTCCAATATTGAAAGACGTTCTACTGTGGGTAAGATGCTATCAAACAGAATTGCATGCTACAGAAAAATCATCATTCAAGGAAGAGTCAATCAATGCCGCCAACTTTGTTGTCTTATACTAAGAAATTGCAAGACGCCCCAACCTTCAGCAACCACCACCCTGAACTATCATCAGCCATCAACAACAAGGCAAGACCCTCCACCAGCAAGAAGATTATGACTCTCTGAAGGCTCAGATGATGGTTAGCATTTTTAGCAATAAAGTATTTTTTTTAACTAAGGCATGTATATTGTTTTCTTAGACATAATGCTATTGCACATTAAACACACTACAGTACAGTATAAGCATAACTTTATGTGCACTGGGAAACCAAAAAATTTGTATAACATGCTTTGAGAGCCTCACTTTATTACCGTGGTCTGAAAACAAACCGCAGTACCTCCAAGATACACGCCTGTGCTCTAGTTTTCTTCATAATTTACCACTTTCTGAAATTATATTTGTGCATTTTTTCCTCCACCATTACATATGCTCTATGAAGACAAAGATTTAGTCTGTCTTATTAACAACTGTACCCCTCACACCTAGATGCCCAGCATATAGTAGACACTCTAGAAATACTTGTTGAATGAGCGAACGAAACAAACTTGAAGGAGATTTGAGAGATAATAATAAATATTAACCAAAATAGAGGGGAAGCTAATAAATGCATAAGCTGATGATAAAAACCCTTTTGCATTGAAGGAGTTTTTGTTTGAAATCTAAGAGGGCATATATTGGAACCCTAAGGTTCCTACAAATTTTGATGTCCTAACACTGAGTCAAATAGACTTACCTTTACAAAACTTCACATGGTATTGTGGGAAAAGCAGTAGATGGGGAGTTAAGAGGCCTGGGTTCCAGATCCAGCTCTGTCATAAACTTACTTTCTGACTTTTAGCAAAATACTCCCTTTCTGTGCGGCCTCAGTTTTCTCTTGCCCAGAGTACTTACGCTTTGAGAAGGGATTTTGTTTCCGCTGCTGTATCCTACTTAGAGAAATACTGGGCCAGGACACCTGTCTAAAAACCATTTGCTGAGTGAATCAATGAACGAACAAAATGAGGAGACTGCACTTCATCTCTGAATCTTGCTTGTGAAGAAATATACCCCGCAAATGAATTTAGTTCATCGAGTACTTTCACATTCATGTTCCTGGGCTGCTCGTCCCAAATGAGTCACTTGTTTCCCGACACCACACTACACTCTGGGACACACGGCAGTACGGTTTACTCAATAAATTAACGAGTGAAGTGGAAGGGTAAGGGGGTGGTATTTCGGTTCTAAGATGAGTAAACTGACGCCAAAAGAAGTGACGGGACCCCACCGTTCGCGGAAACCGGCGCTGAAGCTTCTGAGCTCAGAACACTAACTCACTTTCCTGCCCCTTCCCTGGTGGCGCAGGACCAGGGTCCCGTCTTAGTTCATCCTTCTCAGTTTCTCTCCTTACTTTCCGTTAGCATGACCCACGGTCTAACCTTCCACTTTACCTGAATCGAGACCAAAAATCTCTGCGTGGCGCCCCTGAGACTATCCACGTGAAGCTTCTTCTGGCAACGCCGCACACCCAGAGACCCGCCATGTTCCATGAGAGCTTCAGGACAGAGCTCCGCCCCCAGCCGGCAGTGACGCAGCAAGATCAGCCAATCAAATGTAAGCTTAGTGGCAAGTGTTCCCTTTTTTCCTAGGTTAAGACTCACCAGCGGCTCCCTCACCCTTTGCACTCCGGGAAGTGTAGTTCGGTAGCCATTGCCGGGGGAGGCTGGACCCAGGAGCTCTCTCGTAGCATGACGGGAGTTGTAGTTGAGGGGCGCCCCGGGAACGTTCCGGGTGACGCCTTCTGGTCCGGGGGCGGGCGAGCATAGCGTTCTTTGGCTGAAAGCAGCAGGAACTGGCAACCGGGAGGAGGCTCTAGCGAGGCCTGAAAGCGGCGCAGCCAGGCAGGGGAGGGGTTTCGGGGTGGGGGCGGCCAAGTAGCGCATCTGACATGCTGCTGGGGTCGTGACCGCTTGGGGTCCGAGGCAGGACCTGGCCAGATCCAGCCTGGAGGCCTCGCCTTCTTCGGGCCTAATCTTCAGCGGCCGGGTAGGCCTTGCCGGAGGCTCCTTTTCGTGCGGCCACCCCGGATTCCTGCCCTGATTTTCTGTCCGAGAGATGGCCTCGCCTAGCCCCCCGCCAGAGCCAAAGGTAAGTCGCCCCTCCGGGTATCCCCGTTCTCTCGCCGTTCCCGAGCTAGGCCGCGCCACCGCCCCCCCACCTCTCGGGTCGCGGTCTTGAGGGCCAGCGCGGTGCAATGAAGTACCCCCTGATACACTGGGGCGCCGTTCGCGATCAAACTGACCACTGGCTCCGTTTTTCAAAAGTGACTTGATAAATCAGCTAAAGAAAATTGGTAATGCTCCAAACTATCGTTTTCATTTACGAGTGTTTCCAGGTGAGGTATCTTTTCTGATCCTCCCCTGTGTCTTCTACACCTGTCGAGATGCCTGGACCCAAAGTAGACGCTTGGAGAAATCTGAATTGAAACGGGTCTCAAGGCAGTGCTTGTAGAGAATCGAGTGGGGCAATAAGGTGCAGGAAAGTTGGGAAGGCCTTGGGGCAGCTTACTAAAATTCAAATATTAGGGCATAATGAGTAAATCAGAAAGCCTTATCCTTAGGTTCCTCACTACAGAGGACAAAGATCCAGCTCAGTTATCCTCTAATTTGATGTGCTTGTCTGAATTCTGTCGGTTCCCAGAATTGGGCCCCATTTGGAACTCTTAGTATCATGTTCCTCCTAGCCTACCGGGCCCTGACAAGTGATTGTTTCTGCTACTTTCAGTGGTAGAATTGTCCTTGAGACAAGAACTGACTACAGAAATCATACTGTTTCAGGGGTTGCTGACATTTGAGGATGTGGCTGTGTTTTTTACCCAGGAGGAGTGGGATTATCTGGATCCAGCTCAGAGAAGCCTGTATAAAGATGTCATGATGGAGAATTATGGAAACCTGGTCTCACTGGGTAAGAATCTGCCGTTTCTCTGATGAAAATATCTAAGAAACTATAAGAAATCAGAACACTTGAACTAGCACCGTACCAAACTGATTTGTTCCAAAGTTCTGATTCAAACCTTTCAGCCATGAATTGTTTCCATGACTCTCATCCCTACCGTTCTTGCAATGACCAAAATACAAGCTTTTCTGGCTTCCTATCTTCGTAATCTCATTCCCATATTGCTCTGTACTTTCCCTCCTGGCTCATCCTCCCACTGCTTTCCTCCCACCCCTTTTCACTCTGCCTTCTGGAGCCCCTGTTCCTCTTCACATAATGTTCCCTACCCCTCCTGGCCTTAACTGAAACCTGGCACTTCCCCAAGGACACCACTTCTCTGGCAGGGGCTGCTTATTCTCCTACATCCTCTTCCTTCCTCTCATCCTTTGTCTCAAGGCTGAAAGGGAAAAATAATTGTTCTCCTAACTTTTCAGTGCTGTTCCCAAAGCATTCGTTTTCCACCTTCAAACACAGTTTCTCTCTTTTGAGGTCTCAGCTGTCTTGCCCTACCCTCTCAATTCCTTTTCACTATCATCTGTCAGCTTTTTTTGGTTCCTCACATAGATTTTGTCACATTTCAGAATCTTCTCTTTGCTAACCCATACCATCGATCATGCTGTCATTACTTCAGCCTCACTGTATCTTGACCATATTGTCTTCAGGGACCCTGCTTTCCATTTTTATTCAGCACCTCACATCAATGATCCTACCCTCAATTTTGTCATTACAGGCAAATCTTAAACCCCAATATCTTATACTTTGACCAATATCTTATTTTTATTCAGGCAGTAGATGTTTATCGACTATAAGTAAACAGGGGTTACCAAAACAGACATGATCTCTGCCCACGTGGAGCTTACTGTAAATTCTTACCTGTCTACTTTTACTACCAAACCTATTCTTTTTTTTTCTTTAATAAATTTATTTATTTATTTATTTTTGTTTGCATTGGGTCTTCGTTGCTGTGGGTGGGCTTTCTCTAGTTGCGGTGAGCAGGGACTCCTCTGTTGCAGTGCGTGGGCTTCTCATTGCGGTGGCTTCTCTTGTTGCGGAGCACGGGCTCTAGGCGTGTGGGCTTCAGTCGTTGTTGCACACGGGTTCAGTAGTTGTGGCTCGTGGGCTCTAGATCACAGGCTCAGCAGTTGTGGCACATGGGCTTAGTTGCTCTGTGGCATGTGGGATCTTCCTGGATCAGGGATCGAACCCGTGTCCCCTGCATTGGCAGGCGGAGTCTTAACCACTGTGCCACCAGGGAAGTCCAAACCTATTTATTCTTAATCTTTCCTGTTCCTTGACTTCTTTTTTCCCCCAGGCTCTCGACTGCCTCCTGACTTCACCTCCTTATCTAATCCATGGACCTATATATAAAATGATCACCAGCATGCTCTCTTGCCACCTTGTCATTATGTTCTACCCATTCTGCAAACTTCAAATCCTGTACTGATTATAAAATCTGCCTTTTCTTTTCTCCTACCTGAGTTGCTAAACACAGCAAGAGAAATTTTTTATCCAAACGGATTGGTGCCCTGTATACATACATGGCTTTTCTTTCTTCTAGTCTCCACTGGGTTTTTACATTTCAGCAAATTTTTTATCATTGATTTGCTCATGCCCCTGTTCCTTTTAGTGACTATTCCAGAAACTTAGAGAGTTTTCCTTGGGTCCATCACTCAGTGGTGGACCTCACCTTCTGTTTCACAGAGAAGACAGTGGCCACTACACATGAACTCTCAAGTTTTCTGCCCCTCATTGCACACTTAAGGTTGCCTGTCTTCTCACATTCTCCAAGAATTGATCAGTCTTTTTTTTTCTTATAGTTTCAGTCTCTATTCTTTCTCCCCTGGTACCTTTATTCTGATGATAGATATGTTCGTGGCTCTAGAACTCTCCTTTGAGCCACAGTCTCTCTTGCAGCTCCCTGTAACCTACTACTTGTTTGCTTCACAGCCAGATTTTTGTAAGAGTAGTTAAGGTGTGTTTTCTACTTCTTTACCTCCCATTATCTCTAATCCCCTTTTTGTGCCTCTACACCTTGCTCAGTTGTTTAACATTGGTGTGTAATAATCCAATTATCAAATGCAGTAGACTCTTTTTGGACTGTATTTAATTCTCTATAGATATTTGAAACTTTTTATTGCTTCCTTCTATGGCCTTGCATTCTCAGACTTCCTCTCAGACTGTATACCTTCTTTGGCAGACCTTATTTACACTCAGGTCATCAGCTACTGCTATGTGATGGTATGTCCCAAATCTTAATCTCTACTTAAGAGAGGCAGTATGGAGCCTAACTGTCCAAGTAAAAAATCCTGATTCCACCACTTACTAGCCTTGTGACTTAACCTTTCTGTGCCTGTTTTTTTTTTAATATAAAATGTAAATAATAATAGCACTTACCTCTTAGGATTATTATGAGCATTAACTCAGTTAATATATGTAAAGCATTTAGGACACTGACCAGCATGTAGTAAGTACAATATAAATGTCAACTGTTATCTTCATCATCATTGTCATTATCTTCTCTGTTGAACTCCAACTTCTTAGTCATCTCCTTTTGAAGACCACATAAATAACTCAGATAATCCACTAAGATCTCAAGGGCCTCCTCTTCAGAATTAAGTACTCCTTTCTCTGTGGTATCTTGTATACGCTTCCATTGTTGAATTTATTTCAGTGTACTATAATCATTATGTTATTTCTCTAAACAGACTGATCTTCAAGAGGACAGTAACTGTATTTTTTTTCATTTGATTTCTCCAGCACTTAGCACAGAGCCAGGCATGTATTATATGCTTCTTAAATATTTGGGTGACTGAGTGAATATAATTTAAGACTCAATATCTTTTGATAGAATTATTGCATTAGCCTGTAAACTAGCCCTGTGCTTCCAGTCTCCCTTTATTCTAATATGTTCTCTTTACTGCCACCAAAGTGACTTTGTGTTATTAACTGCTTATAACTTTTGGTGATTTCTGACAGCTTAAAGGATAAAAATCTTAATTTTTTGTCCTGCATACTAGCACCTCGTTATACAGCCCCTGCCTAGCTTTCTAGCCTCATCTGTTTTCCAGGATACCACTTCAGTCTCCAGCCATGTCAGGCTAGGTATTTTTTTCCATTTAGCTATGGTATCTCTGAGTCACTGACAGCTTTTTCCACCCGTATGGTGCCCTGGTTGATAATACCAGGCAAATGCCCAGCCTTGCCTGTGCCTAGTACTGTAAAATGGCAGTGAGCCCATCTGTGATCTCCTACTTTTAGGCTGTCTTCTTTATTGTAGCTGAAATACAGCTTTTCATCAGTTATTATTTCTCCCCTCACAACCTGTTCGTCCTCCTCTGTAAACTCTATATCCATCCCCTTGATGAGCGCTGCCTTGATGAGAAATTACAGTTATTAAAAACTATTCCACTATAGTGTTTTCCTCCACTTCATCCTGTTGCTCTACTTAACACAACTCATCTAGCTTTGTAATTTTGCCTCTTCAGTCATACCTATCCTTTCTATTTTTCTTTAAAAACTTTAGGAACTATATTGATGATACAGCTGACAGTTTGATCTCTTAGTTCTTGATCTTTCAATTCTTTCAGCTGAAATAGACTTCTTTGGTTTTAATGACTTATCTCCAGACAACTTGAGCCAGATTGGACCTTGACAGAATTGGGAATTGCTGTACCTGTAAGACCTTAAATTCACTGTTTTCCTCCTTTAATTATAGGCTCTTTCCAATTATTTGTTCACCTACTCATTCATTCGATAAATAATTATAAAGCACTGTGCTAGGCCTAGGAATGCAAGTCCTTCCCCATTCTCTCATTCTTTTACCTAGAAAACTGAGAGGCAACTGTGTACTCTAGAAAAATTAGCTATGACCAGAGGATGGGAACATACAAGCACGGCAGATACCTCAGAAGGTGGTTATAGCTACCAAGCCCAGGTCTAATGGCTAGTCATTTCTAAGCTGCCATGTGTGGAAGCCTAGACTCACTTATTTTACCTGTCTTTCTGTTTGACCTATTTGTTTTCATGCTTGTGCCTCTCTGTTGTATTTACTTCAGCAATACATTATATTTCATGTCTGGTAAGATTAAGTCACTCATATTCTCTTTCAGGGTATACAGTTGACCTTTGAACAACGCGGATTTGAAATGCTTGAGTTCTCTTATACATTATTTTTTTTCACTAAATACGTAGTACAGTACTACACTGTCTGTGGTTGGTTGAATCTGCGGGTACAGAACCATGGATATGGAGGGCCAACTGTAAAGTTATATATGGATTTTCAACAGTGTGGAGGGTCAGTGCCCCTAACCCTCATGTTGTTCAAGGGTCAACTGTACTTAACTAGTTTTCTGCATTCTTCTGGTTGAAATTTAGATTACTTGGGGTTTTTTAACTGGCTCGTGGGATTTTTGTTGGAATACAGTTAGGTTTGTTGGTTGGTTTGGGAAGAAATAAGATCCTTATAATGTTGACTCTCTTTAGCAATTTGGTTGACTCTATTTAATTGTCTATGTCCTTTAGAAAAATTGTATGGATTATTTTTATGAATCTTGCATTTCTTGTAGATACATTCCTAGGTTTTATGGGTTTCATTATCATGAAAAGCATATTTTATTTTTCTATAATATTTACTAACTGGTTATTCTTGGTGGTAAGAACCAGTATTTGTTTTATATGTCAGTCCTGTTATCACTATTATATTTCATTTAATTCTTTTAGGAATTTTGGGTAGGCATTCATATCATCTGTGAATAATGTAATTTTGTGTTATTCCTTTGAGTAAAACCCTGGAACAATATCCACTGGGTAAGCATTATGAAGAAACTTTACCTTCTCAAAAGGAACTTACAATCCAATGAAAAGAGAAAGTTAAAAGTACAGTGTAATAATACTATAATGCAGTCATGGACAAGGGCTGGTGATCAAAAACAGAGCGCTTAAATCATCTATTGGACTAAGTGAAGGCCTTATGGTTGCTTTGCATTGAATTTTAAAGAGAAACCAAGAGTTTCCCAAGTAAACAATGTTGGTGGACATTTCATAAATGAGATATGCCAAGAAATGGCATAAAAGACTAAAGCACGAGCAATTTGCCCACTTGAAGTGTGAGAGCTTGGGTAGGAGGGTGAATTAAAGCTTAAGAGACCTCATGAAGTGCTGAGCATCATTGTGTAAAGGGATTTGATTTGATTTTAGAGATAATGGAGCGCTAGTGAATCTATAGGTGGTGACATGATTAGAATTCCATTTTATGAAGATCTCTCTGGATTCAGTGAAATAGATACAGCCTAAAGACAAGAGCCAAGGATTATTAGATGGCTTTTGCAATAATCCAAGGAAAACAGAGAGAGAAGGCAAATGCTAAAGAGTAGAATCATTGATTTGGTGATTGATTAATGGTAAGAAAAAGGGAGAAATCTAGGATGATTTCCTGCTTTGGGACTTTAGTGTGATGGATGGTGATGCCTCTCAAGGGAAGATGATTAGAGGTGGGGACAGACATGACAGCAAATGATGATGGTCATGTTAATTGTGAGCTCTTTTTGAGACATTTAAGTGGCAGTATTCAGAGGGTGTGTATATAGAGCAAGATAAGGATGTAAACATGGGTAACAATAACCTTAAACAGTTGACAAAGGAAGAAAAATACATGAGGGAAATGTATTAGAAAAGGGCAAAGAAAAGAAGTAGGGAGGGACCTAGAATATAATAGCACAGGAACAAAAACAGTGTCAAGAAACAGGAATAGTCCACAGTATCAGATGCTGCTGAGTAAAATAAGGACTAAAAATGCCCATTGTATTTGAAAGTCATTGGTGATTTAATGAGAAGTTTCTCTAGATTCTGGAAACAAATCAGATTTTATAGTAGGTTGTAGAATAGATTGAATGGGAAGAGGTTGGTCATTGAAAACATAGGAAACGGACAGGTACAGTGTTAAGATTTTTTTCAAATCTTGCATTTCACCTAGAAAAGGATTTCAGGTTTCAGGATAAAGTTGGATATATTTGTATGTTGGTAGGAAGGTGTCAATGGAGAATACAGATTGAAGAAAGAGGAAGAAATGGTAATAACTGAACAAGTGCCCAGAGGCAAGTGGGATCAAGAGAGAGTAGATGAATTAGCTTTGGATAAGAATGGGATATATCTTCATGTACCACTGAAGGTAATTTTATAGGTAGGAGGTAGAATGGTGAGGGAGTTCTCTCATACTTTTTCATTGAGTGAAAGAAAACACAGTGTACTGAAAGTGAATTTGAGAGAGAGCACTGTAAGTAGACTTAGGCAGAAATAAAGTTTCTTAGGGAAATAAGAAGAAGTTTTTTTGGAATAAAATAATGACTGAAGTAAGTGAAAAGAAACTTCAAAGATGACTCCACAGTTAGAAGACTAGAAAATTGAAAGAAAAGAGGAAGTCTAAAAAGGGAAATTGTTTAGGGCCAAATATAAATTTGGTGGTGATACAATCTTCTCATGGAGTTATCCAACAGGCAGCAAGAGACAGAAAATCAGGAAAGAAGTCAGAGGCAGACTTAAGTGTCCTCTATGCTGCTCTGTCATATCATAGACCATTATGTTATCCTTCTTCCAACGCATGCAAGATTATCATTTCTCAGATGTCATGCAGACTCTCAGTTGGAAATAGATGGTTCCAACTTGTGTCTTATATCTTTAAAGCCATGAGAATTATGTATACTTGAAGAATGTAGTATTTGTGGTAGGTGAAGTCATAAGCTACCACAGACTGTTCTTTTTCTTAGTTTCTTCCATTAGCTCTAACCATGTTCCTTTTGTTTTTTTTTCCTGTTTTTCTATATCATAGAGTCCATGTCACTTCAACCCAGTTTTTTAAAAGCCATTTGTCTCTTGATGTAGGAGCTATTTTACTTAATATTTTCTTTACCATATTATATTCTTTCCCCATTTGTACTTGTCACCCATTCCATTTGGTAGGGGGCTTCTTGCCTTATCTCTAAATCCTAACTCATTATACAATGCCTGGAATGCTTTTGATCACAATAAATAAATTCTTATTAATGAGTGAATTGTTGTTTCCCCTGGTTTTTGTCTTTTATCCTTCTCAGCATCATTTTATGTGTTCTTTTCTGTCAGTTATTTGGTTTATTCACATTCCCATAATGCTACCTCATCCTAAATTTTCCTGAACCGACTGTTTTCTTCCCATGTTATCCTTTCTTCCTTAATAGGCTAGTTTATCCTGACACTACTTGTTTTACTTCTTTGTTTGCCCATCTTACCTTGCATAATTCGCTGTTGATTTATCAGCCCTTCCTCCTTTCTCCTGCTGATGCATTTTGTGCCTCGTAAACACTCTTTTCATACCCTTTCTCCAAGAAAAACATTTCATTTTATCAGATAACTAATACTAAATATTTATATAGCTTGTACTGTTTGCCAGGTAGTTCTAAATGCTTTATGTATATGAACTAATGTAACCATCACAAGGATGCTGTGATGTAGTAAACTACATTTTATGCACATAGTAGATCATATCTTAATTATCTTATTTTTCTGACAGTTTCTCCTTGCTGGCAAGAGCTAGGCTGATGTTTCTATTTTCCATTTATCATTCCAGATGTTTTGAACAGAGATAAGGATGAGGAGCCAACTGTGAAACAAGAAATTGAGGAAATTGAGGAAGAAGTGGAACCACAGGGTGTAATAGTTACAAGAATCAAAAGTGAAATTGACCAGGATCCTATGGGTAGAGAAACCTTTGAACTTGTTGGTAGGTTAGATAAACAGAGAGGAATCTTCTTATGGGAAATACCAAGGGAATCTTTGACCCAGGAACAAAGAATGTTCAGAGGAAACACTAGCATTATCCGTAAGAGACCAAATTCAGAAGAGAAATGTCATAAATGTGAAGAATGTGGAAAGGGTTTTGTCCGCAAGGCTCATTTCATTCAACATCAAAGGGTCCATACGGGAGAAAAACCTTTTCAATGTAATGAATGTGGGAAAAGTTTCAGTCGCAGTTCATTTGTTATTGAACATCAGAGAATCCACACTGGGGAAAGGCCCTATGAGTGTAATTACTGTGGAAAAACCTTTAGTGTGAGCTCAACCCTTATTAGACATCAGAGAATCCACACTGGAGAGAGACCCTATCAGTGTAACCAATGTAAACAGAGCTTCAGCCAGAGAAGAAGCCTTGTTAAACATCAAAGGATTCACACAGGTGAGAAACCCCATAAATGTAGTGACTGTGGGAAAGCCTTCAGTTGGAAATCACACCTAATTGAACATCAGAGAACTCACACTGGTGAGAAACCCTATCACTGTACCAAATGTAAGAAAAGCTTTAGTCGAAATTCATTACTTGTTGAACATCAGAGAATTCACACTGGGGAAAGACCCCATAAATGTGGTGAATGTGGGAAAGCCTTTAGATTAAGTACATACCTTATACAACACCAAAAAATCCACACTGGTGAGAAGCCTTTTCTTTGTATTGAATGTGGAAAAAGCTTCAGTCGGAGCTCATTCCTTATTGAACATCAGAGGATCCATACAGGTGAAAGACCTTATCAGTGCAAAGAGTGTGGGAAAAGCTTCAGTCAACTTTGCAACCTTACTCGTCATCAGAGAATTCACACAGGGGACAAACCCCATAAATGTGAGGAATGTGGAAAAGCCTTTAGTAGAAGCTCAGGTCTTATTCAGCATCAGAGAATCCACACCAGAGAGAAGACTTATTCATACAATGAAACCAAGGAAAGTTTTGATCCAAATTGCAATCTTATTATACAGCAGGAAGTCTACCCTAAGGAAAAATCTTATAAATGTGATGAATGTGGGAAAACTTTTAGTGTCAGTGCTCATCTTGTACAACATCAAAGAATCCACACTGGTGAAAAGCCCTACCTATGTACTGTATGTGGGAAAAGCTTCAGTCGGAGCTCATTTCTTATTGAACACCAGAGAATCCACACTGGTGAGAGACCCTATCTGTGCAGACAGTGTGGCAAAAGTTTTAGTCAACTCTGTAATCTTATTCGACATCAGGGTGTTCACACAGGTAATAAACCCCATAAATGTGATGAATGTGGGAAGGCCTTTAGCCGGAACTCAGGCCTTATTCAGCATCAGAGAATACATACAGGAGAAAAACCTTATAAGTGTGAGAAGTGCGACAAAAGTTTCAGTCAACAGCGCAGCCTTGTCAACCATCAGAAGATCCATGCAGAGGTGAAAATTCAAGAAACCCACGAATGTGATGCTTGTGGGGAAGCCTTCAATTGCCATATATCTCTTATTCAGCATCAAAAATTGCACACTACATGGATGCAGTAAACATAGAGAAATACTTAAGCTTGGTTTGACTTGAGACCAGCTACCCAAGTGCAGTTTCAGTATGGCTCAATGTGAGTCAAGATTTAGATAAAGCAGGTTCTCTTTGGCCTCAGGCAAATGGTTTCTAAAGGTTCTGTGAATAATAGGCAGCTGCCCACAGGCAGTTGAAGATTTCCATTACTCTTTGTTTTGACGATCATAGAGAAGGACTCAGTAATTTAAGCATCTTTCTTTTACAAATCTTTCAGCAGAGAGGTTAAACCCAGGTTCAGAGCACTTAGTTATAATTAATAAAGGGAGAAGAACAAAGTTACATTGGCATAAGGGAGTTGGAAGCAGCTGATGTTAGAAAACTAGTATAATTGCTCAGAGTCCTCTGGCACCATAATATATGGTGGTTCTTTCAGTTCCATGACGTGTTTGGCTATGCATGCCAAGTCCAATGATTAAGCATATGCTTAAGTTTTCAAGGAAACAAACCCCCCATTTTTTAAAAAACTGGCATCCAAAGCTTTTGTCATTGTCTAATCCAGTTGTTTGGCATGTGGGTTAAAGGCAGTTCCAATGCCATGTGGTTCCCAGATCTGTGAAATGAGTGGACCATTAATTTTACATATAAAGTGAATGTACAGATTATGTAATTAACAAACCTAGCAAAGGTGTTACCAAGGAGCCTTTGGGAGTGCCTTTTCTTTTTTCCCAAGATGGGCCCAAAAAGGTGGAGGAAGACACTGTTCTTTTTGTGCCCTCCAATCTGTGAAAGATATTTGTAGTCCTAGACAAATTAAATCTTATTCCTCCATTACCAGTAGCATGTGAAAGTGTAAATATTTTGATTACCAAGAGTTGGAAATAAAAAGACCTGGAATCTATGCTAGGAAGCTGAGATATTTTGGTATTGCTTTGATTTTTATGGTAACTAGACTTTGCATGCAATTTTAAAATCCTTATTTCTGGTTCTAGGGCTTCCTTAGTTAATGGTTATTATAAACCTATTCAGCTCTTCTAATCATTAAACCTGTTTTGTTTTTTGCTTTGTGTAAGAGTTATTTGTTACTCTAGTGTAAAATCTATCCTGTCAAATATATTACAGCATTTAAAAGTTAGAATCAAGGATTTAAAGGAAACTGCTCTCACTTGTTCTACCTCTGACTTGTTACCTTTTCTGGGATAGTTCAATTAAGGTTAAATCCAGGTTCTTTAGTTCCTGAGTATATAATTCCAAATCACCAGGACTCGGTAATTCTAATTTCCTAATAGTTTAAGCAAAAGACCTCACTTTCAACTATAACCTAGACATTCTAAACATCACCTCCAAACTTTCATCTTCCCATCTCTGAGTATGTGCGTATGTGTGTGTGCATGCACACGTAAATGTGGGTGTTATGGTATGTGTAGAAATACACCTCTCTGTACACTTCCTTATTCAAATTAAGTACTCATAGTTACCATACAGTTAACTTTTTAAAACAGAGTTTGTAACTCAGTGAATAGTACAAAAGGTAGCTGATAATGCACTTAATTTTTCAATAAAATTATCCTCCTGCCCTAAATCTCCCTGTTTTACTTGTTCTGCACCAGTGGTTCCCCAGCCCAGAGTCACAACTAATAATGAGGTTCTTAGAAATCCAGAGATGGAATCCTGTGTTTTGAAAAACCTAACACAAAGTGTATGTTTTCACTGCATGCACACGAAAACATTTCTCTGCTTTTTGCTGAAATTGCACTGTATCGTATGACTGTCTTGCTGAGCAGAAGTTCTGGCTGTTGACCTCACTGTAATTTGGGGCCATGGTCATTTGAGATATTCCTAAAAGTATGTAATTTTTAACATCCTTGAATGTGAATCTGGAGTGACAGCTCCAAACTCCAGTAACGGCGAAACAGTTCTTGCTTATGTATACAATTCATTGGCTGTAAAAATCATAGCCAAATTTTTTTTTTTTTAAAGCAAGTACACTGCAGTATACACTGCTGTTAGAAATGTGATAGAAATGCTGATAGAAATGCGCAGAGGACTTTAGAGAGGGATATGAAGTGCCAGAAGATGAGGGAAGGAGAAAGTTATATCTTTCAAGAGGAAATAATGCCTAAGATGAGGCTAAAAGACAAGTACCAGGAAAGATGAATACTGTCTGAAGATGAAGTTGTGAGAGGATCTGGTAGCTACAGAGTGAACTGATTGCTTGGTGATGGGAATGTGGTAGGAGGTAAGGTGCCCATAAACAAGAGTTATAGTGCTAAAGAGATAGGACTTGATTTCTCCTGAAATCCTGTGGTAATGTTTTCCTTGTAGGTAAGTATGGTGTGTATAAGAAAAGGACGCATTTTAAGAATATAGCTCAGTGGATTTTCACAACTAAACCTCTATATAACTGCTACCCAGCTTAAATATTACTGGTACCCCAGATTCTTCCCTTGTGTACCTTTCCAAATACTACACAACACACATCTTGTGGTGCCTCCACTTTAACTCAGGAGACAATGTGGAAGTGAATAGGAGGGAAAAAATTGGCTCTTGACCTTTTTAAGATCTGGGGGTCTTATCCTCAGGAAGTTGCACAAAGTAAGCATTCAAGGGCCTGTGGTTTCCGTGTTAACTTCAAGAGTCTCTTAGAGTAGTACTACTGAGAGATTGTGGTGTCTTTAAGGCAGTGGGAATGAAAGGAGATGAACTTGAGAAATACAGAGTAAAACCTGATTGCTAATTGGATGAGGAAGGTGAAAAAGAGTAAAGATTCAAGGTGGGTTTGGGTGGCACCTGGTATGGAGTAAGGAATTAATTACTAAAGTTTTTGAGCGTGTAATGTTTGGCTTATCTGTGAGACAGACACGTCTGAAGATAATTGGAGATGTGGACATGGTGCACAGGGAAGATCTAGGTTAGAAATTGATTTAGGAATTCACATGTTTAGACACAGAACTGAATTAAGTAAGATTTAAGGAAAGAATAAAGCAAGAAAAGAAATCCAGGGATGGAATCCTGAGGCCCACTCTTGTTTAGTGGATGGGCAAGATTCAAAGGAGACAGGAACAGCCAGAAGTATCAAAAACCCAGTACATAGTGATAACTAGGAAAGTGACCTAGAAGAGTGCTGCAGAGGCATCAAAGAAAGGTTGAAGAGTGTCCTTTAGATGGATTATTAGAAAGTCATTAATGAGTACTATAAGAACAGCTTCTGAAATTGGGAAGGGCCAGTTTTCAGGGGCTTAAATGGTGTCTGAAGAGTGTAGATCATCAATTCTCAAATACTATCAATTCATGGTGAAAAGTTTACTATTCTACATTCAAATGGTAAAAACAAGGACAATAGAGTAGCTTTGTAAAAAAGCTAAATTGAGGGCTTCCCTGGTGTCGCAGTGGTTGGGAATCCACCTGCCAATGCAGGGGACGTGGGTTCATGCCCCGGTCTGGGAAGATCCCACATGCCGCGGAGCGGCTAGGCCCCTGAGCCATGGCGGCTGAGCCTGCGCGTCTGGAGCCTAGGCCCGCGTACCGCAAAAAAAAAAAAAAAAAAAAAAAAAAAAAAA